AATTAATAATTATTATTGCAAACGTATCTGTAAAGTCCCTCGCCTGATCGGTTAGGGACATATTAAGGGGTCGTTGCTCCGAGGGGGAAACTGTTTAGGTGACCATATATATCGGGTTATAGTGTTTTGTTGTAATAGAGAGTCTCCCGAAGTGTTTAGTGGTTTGTACTTACTATTAATTGTGTTGTTGATAGACTCTTATATCATTTTTACTGTCTAGTTTTCACTTTATTTTGCTTACCCATAATTTGTGTTACTGTGTTTATGTCAATCTAATCGTTTTATATTGTTACAGTAGCGCTTAGTCTAGTCTTATGGAAAAATCAGGTGTGGGGTCTCCCTTTAGTCTTGTACAAATATGGTCCATCCATCCTCCTTAAACTGATTACAGTACCACGTATGGTATGTTCATTTTGTTTTGTAAATTTTGTGGTGATAAATTTTTTGATATTATTGTAATTTTTTATACCAGTTTATTTTATATCCGTCATAAATGTACTTTATAGCTTACCTTATTTTATACACCGTCATATTTTTATTTATTTTCTCGTCTAAACTTACAATTTGTTTCTTCGTACGGTATTTTTTTATAATTTCTTGTTTTATGGTATTTTATTTCTGCGCTAGTGGATTGTCAAAGGGGAAGCTTCGTTATTATTATTAATAATTTTTATTTTTTTTTATTTTCCATTTTTATTTTGTAATCATCTCGCGACCCCCACTCGGGGTCTCGTGGGAACCCCTGGGCTATATAACCACATTTGAATTGAATTGATTCTGTTTCTGACTGATACCTGGTGCCTGAGCGGTTGCCTCTGTTTCCGGCTGTGACTCGCCCCTCTGTCTCGGTCTCCCTCTCTCCCCCGATCCCTGCCGTCGTGCTCCTCCTCCTCGCTGTACCGCTCCATCGCCACCAGCTCGTCCGATAGATCGCCGGCGTTTCCTCGGAGACTGTCCCTGCCGATGCTGTCGACGCTGCCCACGCCGGAGCTGCACCCGGCCGACAGGTTCCCCGTGCTGCCCGCTCCGTTTGCCGTCTGCGCCAAAAGGTCCCGCAGCTTGTACCGGACGTCCTGAGTGCAGCTGGAGTTCTGCTTCATGAGGATTGCTCCGTCGTTTCCATCACACATGGATCCTGGTCCCAAGTCGCCCAAAGACATCAAACTCACCGTGTTAGCTTGCTCCATTTGACCCGAATCGTTAACATTGGCGACCCCTAACCCGCCGCCCATGTTGCTAGCTGCACATTCTGCCATGAAGTTGGGGAAGTTTGCGTACCCTCCACCTCCGCTTGCACCCACAGAGCAGCTCCCACCGCCCCCGCTTTCTCTCCCTTTCCCCCCGCCTCGCTCTTCTTGTTTAGGGAGAACTCCTCCGAGCATCCCTCCTCCTCCACCTCCTCCTCCACCTCCGCCTCCACCTCCGCCTCCGCCTCCTGCTGCCGCCGCTGCCGCCGCCGCCGCTGCTGTAGCCGCCGCTTTCCTCTGAGAGATAATCTGAGTACACTCGTCAATAACCGTCTTAATCTGCAGGATGCTGGCGGCCGTGAGGATGCAGAGGGCCTGGGATTGCAGCACCACCAGGGAACCGCTGTACATGAAATCCACCAGCTGCTTGACGGTTTCCGCGGGCACCAGAGGGGGCACGGAGATCTCAGAGTGACCCAGGAGGAGCTTGTCCTGGAAGAAGGGGCTTCCGGCGGCCAGGACGCAGGCGTGTGCTCGTAGCGACGCGTCGTGTATCCGTACCGTGACGTCGCAGAAAAGGCCTTCGCGCCGCTGCGTCCTCAGGGCCTCCAGCACCGACTGGCTGGAGTTGTGGAGGTGGATGTAGTGCACGGTCTCTGTGCCGGACACCATGGCGGGAGGCGGCGAGTCGCTGGGGATCGGGTGGGAGTGGGGGTGAGGGAGAGGGGGCAGGTGTCTGGGGTTCTGCGACAGCTTGAGGGATAAGGAGGACAGGGAGGGAAACGGGTACAGTGCATGGGCCACGGTGGGTCCGTTTTCCCTCAAACGGTCATGAGTCTCTGATTTGGGAGAGAGAGTGAGGAGATAAGTGTGTTGTCCTGAGAGAGAGGGGGGTTTCCACCAGCGTCCCTTTCTTTTTCACAACCCTGTTGAGATAAATCAGAAAGAGAACGATTAATTTTGTACTCGGGATTGTGGGAAACGGCATTTCGATCTCTCTGACTGTACACACAAACTGAAAGCTTGACAATAAAGTTCACTTTGACGAAACTGTTAAACATTCAGAAATAAAGAATCAATCAATATAAGAATATTCCAAATCTCCAAGAATGTCATCCTTTTAAGTGATGCATGAAGCAAAAATCTAAAAACCAGTTCCAGATTCCAGTTTCTAAAATGTTAGAATTTGGTTTCCTTTGGTTTTTAGTTATAGGTGTCTGACTCGACTTCAGAATGTCTTAGATGACTTCAAGGTTTCAAGGCTTTTTAATTGTCATTAAAATCTTAGATCACAGGCTCCTCCAACAGAGCAACACAATAACACAGATAAAATAGTAAATAAAATAAAATATAACAGAAACAGAATATAATAGAAACAGTGCAGAATAGTCTACAGTCATTGGAATATTGATATATGAGTTGCAAACAGATGAATGTTCTTTGACACTCATGATTAGTTGATACGAAAGACAGATCTGTAAACCTGTAGTCTCTCCATAAAGATCATGGTAAAGCAACACTTTGACACTCCTTAGAAATACAAAATA